GATGAAATTTCATCAGAAATTTCCCTTTGCTTCACTTGATTAGAGTAGCCCAAGAGTTGGGTGCTGTTGACTACTAGTTTATCAGTTCAAAATTAGGGGTGGCTAGTAGAGCAGATAACCCTTGTGTATCTTTTATTTCACAAACAAACATAAAAACAGTTCTTACTAAATGGGCAAGGTATGAAAGTCGTATTACAAGCATGAACAGCTGGTAGAATGTTTCTGTATTGGTAACTAACTAGCAACATTCAGGGGTCGTCTACTTAATATATTTTAGTTTTAATACTGAGTATGAACATCATTATTTAAACCAGATTCGCTATTATATTAAACACATCGTTCAGTGCTTTCACAAATCCTTGTTGTTGTTTTTTTTCAGTAAAGAATGTTGTCCCAGGTGCTGTCTAAACTACTAAATGACGTGGGGTGGCTTCCAACTGTCTTTGTTGGTTTGTTGACTTTCGTTGTCATAAGACACTTCATGAAGAGAAAGAAGTATCCACCAGGACCTTTCCCGTTACCCATTGTGGGCAATTTGTTGGGTAAGTGTCTTTTATCAAGGTCGGTACATAGACATAAAGAAATAAAAATAGTGTTTAACTGAGTACTTTTTGGTCTTTTTTTTCGAATTGGGGTGAGTGAGGTGCTGTGAAAAACTTATAGGGGAGAATGATATTGGAAAAGGTTGAGAAGCACTGGTTTAGAGGATTATTAATTTTTACACATTAGAAAATATTTTGTTACTTATCGTAGATAATCTGATAAGTATCTTTTAGTGTAGGCTGGAAAACAGAAACTAAATTATGCTATTCGCCTGATATGTTACTCCTAATTGATTACTTACGTACAACTAAGCTTGTTAAAAGTTCATATCATTACACAGTGGTGGAAAAATAATATTGCATCACCTAGTTTTTTCACACTTTTCTTGGTTCCTGTAATTTTTGACGAGATTATGCAAGTGTCGGAACTAGTGTAAAACGATTATAACCATTGTGTGGTTTAAGCTGACTCATATTTTACTCATCCAAACACATACATGCATGTTTATTAACAAATCAGCCGTAATAAGCGTATTACAGCAGATGGTCAACAAATACTTGGCAAATACGAAAATGTTCTGGGAGTAATATTTGGAAAAAAAACAACGTATAAAATGTTGTTCATATTACTTCAAACCTTTGGAAAAAAAAACAACGTATAAAATGTTGTTCATATTACTTCAAACTATTGTAAAAAAAAACGTATAAAATGTTGTTCATATTACTTCAAACTATTGTAAAAAAAAACGTATAAAATGTTGTTCATATTACTTCTAACTATTGTAAAAAAAAGGTATAAAATGTTGTTCATATTACTTCTAACTTTTATTTCTTACAGCTTTATAGTCGTGAGTAATGAGAATTTTAAGAAAAGCTGTTTGATACATTCCCAAATAAATCATTGTTAGAATAGTGCACCTTAGTGGGATCATCATGGGTGCTGATATACTAATCTGAACATATTATTGTCTAATGTAAAAAAAAAAAGGAAAACAAATTAAAAAATTACAGATTTGATTTTTGGGCAATTTGTGGACGTGTTATTACAATTGGCGCCAACACAATTCTAACTGTTATATTGTTTGTTTGTTTTGAATTTCGCGCAAAGCTACACGAGGGCTATCTGCGCTAGCCGTCTCTAATTTAGCAGTGTAAGACAGTAAGGCAGCTAGTCATCACCACCCACCGCCAACTCTTGGGCTACTCTTTTACCAACTAATAGTGGGATTGACCGTCACATTATAACGCCCCTACGGCTGAAAGGGCGAGCATGTTTGGTGTGACGGGGATTCGAACACGCGACCCTTAGATTGCGAATCGAGCGCCCTAACCACCTGGCCATGCCGGGCCTAACTGTTATAGCATTCGAGGTTTTATCTATGTTTTGTTCTGTAAATATACAATAAAACAAAAGAATATTAAGCTACTTTAAAATACAAGTAAGTAAAAAAATATATAATCAGATGTGGGGATGACTGGTGCAAAAAGAACAGAAAGAAGAAAGAGATGCTAATATTATACCCTGTTCAAATTTCTTCTTCACTCCACTCCATCCCTCCCTACATTGTACTTTCACAATGCAGGGAGGGATGGAGTGGAGGAGAGATTTGCACAGAGTATAATATTAGCATCTCTTTCTTGTTTCTGTCATTCCTACATCAAATTAAAAATATTCTTAAATTTTTATTTAATTGTTTGTGTACTTTTTTAGGTGGCGCTGCGCTAGATAGTGGTTTTTTATAGCAATTACAAAATGATGTATTGTAGTAAGGTACGCCAATCTCGAAATCTCTACTTTTTAGATCTTCTATCTAGTTTAATTAGTGTAGGAAACTAATTTACACTTAGCACTGTATATTTGGGTGTGACTTAGCTGAAGAGCTTGCATTGTTTTTAAATTACAGCGTGAGGAGAAGAAGAAGAACAAACGGGCGAATTTCAACCTCCGTTTTCTCGCCACTGACAAAAGTTAGCCGAAGTTTATGAGTAGTTTTGTGTATGAATGGTCAATCGCTTTTTGGTCATAGCTTGTTTGCGCGGATTTACGCGTGTTCTAGTCTTGCCGTTCCCATAGGCTATATATATATATTGGCTGCCATGTTTTTCCCGTGCCATCCCTACACAGAGATCCACCACCGTTTCCCTCAAGTATGTTTGTCAAAACAATTTAAAATTTTGGGTTCAACGAAAATATCAAGTTGGTGAATCAAACTCTATAAATTGGTTTCTTCGGCACTCGTGATAATTAAGATTACTTTGATATTTTCATCCCGAATGACACTTCATGTGACACATCGGTTAAATGGTCACTTCAGATATCCCTATGGCTCAGGTACGACCATCCCTATTTTAGAACTACTGATTAAATGAAAGTCAACCAGCAAGCAGCACCCGCCGCATATTATACCGCTGCTCATGGATGAATAATGAGATTGGCCGTTACGTGTGTTTAATGGCATATCATTGCTCTAACCTTGGACCTTCCCTTTCACAGCTCAGCATACTAACCACTAGGACTCGCCCGGCCTATCAAGGATGTGATCTGCTATATAATGTGTGTATATATATATATCAAACTATACTTCTCAGTAAACCTTTTCGTAAAAGAAAAAATTAACAAGCACTTTATTCTCGTCCTTTAATAATTTCAGTTTTGTTCATTTCTTGTTCTTACACAACAAATACTTACCCTCGTTAGTATTCAATCTTTGAAACAGACTATCTTCAAGGCTGTTTGATAGCGTATGCTTTTATAACTTCATCTGTTTTTTTGTGTTTTGTTTTTGACATTTCTTTTTATCCTTGTATGTTTTTTTCTTTGTGTGTGTGATAAGATTAAATTACACACACATATATATAAATATATACACGAGCTAACAGTTCTGTCCTTGTACTTAGAACCTACCACAGTCTTCAAATATTTATATCAGATGATAAGGACCAACCCAAGGCAAGGGAAAAAAAGACCCCCCCTTTTTTTTTGCTGTTTCTGAAATCAAATATTAATACAGTGCTCGTACATCTATCTCTATCGTATTGATTTCAGCACTGTGCAAAATGGTACAACATGGATAGGAATAGTTATATCATGTGATAAGAATGACAGAAACATTTTACGCATGTGACACCCCATTTATATATGTCAAATAGATGTGTTTGACGTTTCTTAGCATAATTTTGTGTAGTATATCCGCGAAAGTAGGTCAGTTTTGAAAGTCAGGTGCCTCGCCAACTAATCGTAAGAGGCAAAGTCCCAGGTTATAGAAAATGATAGCCCTTAGTTGTTGCAATAATATTGGATTATGTCACATTCGGTTGATCTAATAATGGTAGCCTCCAGTTGGAGCAGCCATTTTAAATGTTCCATACTCTTAATCATTATTACTCTCTTGCGCTAAAATACGCCCAGATATGTTGGATAACCTCTTTATTAATCATTATTACTCTCTTGCGCTAAAATACGTCCAGATATGTTGGATAACCTCTTTATTAATCATTATTACTCTCTTGCGCTAAAATACGTCCAGATATGTTGGATAACCTCTTTATTAATCATTATTACTCTCTTGCGCTAAAATACGTCCAGATATGTTGGATAACCTCTTTATTAATCATTATTACTCTCTTGCGCTAAAATACGTCCAGATATGTTGGATAACCTCTTTATTAATCATTATTACTCTCTTGCGCTAAAATACGTCCAGATATGTTGGATAACCTCTTTATTAATAATTATTAATGAAACTAAAGCAATAGATCATATTAGGTCGTCTCATTCATATTAATATTGATATAAATTGTTGTACATACAAGACTGTTTAGTGTAAGAGTTAAGTTAGTGAAAATGATGTTAGACTGCGTGATTGTTAATTTAGCCATAACAGGCAATATTTAAAGTGAGTTTCACAGTGTTTTGTAATAACAAATGATGTTAGACTGCATGATTGTTAGTTTAGCCATAACAGGCAATATTTAAAGTGAGTTTCACAGTGTTTTGTAATAACAAATGATGTTAGACTGCATGATTGTTAGTTTAGCCACAACAGGCAATATTTAAAGTGAGTTTCACAGTGTTTTGTAATAACAAATGATGTTAGACTGCATGATTGTTAGTTTAGCCAGCACAGGCAATATTTAAAGTGAGTTTCAGAATGGTATGGTAATAACAGAGACGAAGGAGTATAATTTTTTTTGTAAAAGAGTGTTTTAAAATAATTTAACTCGCCTGTGTGAACTTTCACGAAAAAGAGACAAGTATTTGAAGTTCTGGATACAACTGTGGTAACCCACGGAGTAACGTTAGTGAATCTATCGCAGATTGTGCAGTAAGAAACAGAATAGAGAAAAATAATTCTTGTCAGTTGAGTTCTAAAGTAACTGAACTAGCTTGTGTGGACCTTTGATAAGAAAATATAATTATTTAAAGCTTTAGATACAACTTTGATAACCAGTAGTGAAACGAATTTTTGTACATACGTTTGACTTGTTTAGAATATATTATTTTAAAAAAAGTGGATTGTGTGCTGTCCGTTTATTGTTGAAATGTATCGCCAACAAATCATAGACACCTACTGTAAAGAATCCGCAGCCGTATACTAAACCCTAACATAAATTGTTAATAACTGCTAATTCCTCTGTTCTGGTAGTTGTGCAGTGGTAATGCTCTCTCTAGCAAATGAACACACCAGAACATTAGCTTTTGAGTGCACAGTCGTGATTGACCAATCAGCACCATGAGATAATTACTGACTTTCCCACAGGTGGTAGAACATGTTTCAGGACGCCTCACCATTAGAAGTTATGGAATCATAATGGTGTCAGGTAATGGAACAAATCCCGATCCACCTAATAGTTAATCAATTAGTGGAAAGTCTTACCTAATCTAGTGAACTTTAATATGCAGTTAATCTGGAAATATCTCTCCATGATCAAAGCTCATTTTTTGGATGGTTAACCAGCTTTAGTTTTCCTTAAACGTCAATTCAAAAGTTAAGGTACTTTCCATAGACAGTGACCACTAAAGTACAGAGGTAAAACTGACTACATAATAGGTGTTTTCATATATAATATTTCTGAGTTTCCACTGTTACGACTGTACACTCAATAGCTAGTTTCTCGACTTGTTCTGTTGCATGAGAGAGCATTACCACTGCTCAGCAACTACCAATGGTGAGTTGAGACGAGACATACTGCTGGGTGTGGGTGGGGGTAAGTAATTAACAACTTGTATGGTTATTAACAGAGTGAGATATTCAAATATAATATATTGCCTGAGGTTAATTAGTAGCTTGGATCATTATTAATAATGAAGTCATCCAACATGTCATGACGTATTTTAGTACAAGATAGTAACGATAATCATGAAAATTGATGATGAATAAGATCATTCATTCTTGTCTATGGATTATTAATTAAGGATTTATAGATACTTGTATATGACGTCATCTAAGATAAATGCGCCATCTTGAGGTCAATCGAAAGTGACGACATTTATTATGGCTGTGTTCACTTGGGCTTATCGGGTTTTGTTTGACATCTTGGGGCTTTGCCTCCAATCATTAGTGACCGGGTCACCTGACACTCAAAATGACCTAGGTTATAGGTATACTGCTCATTATGACTGTAGCTGAACATCTCCGTGGCAGGACATCACCAGCGACAGCACTCGCCAATTGTTAACAACTGTATAGTGATCAAGAAATCTTGGCGAGGATCTTTTGGGATCTTCATAAATTTAGGTATCGTGGATGAGCTGCTTCAAGAAAACTCCTGATCACAAGTATAAATAATTTTCACGGATATGGATGGGTACAACAGATAGTCGACTACCCACTGTTTACCGATGAATTGAAAGGGACGGACATGGGTGTGGGTAAAAGATGGAGAAGTGCCTCATGTCTACAACCAGTGGCCATATATGGAGGCTGTCATGCTATGGTACGACATCAATACTTACCTTGTGTTCATCAGAAGTAGAAATACTTTCAGTCAATTTCCTTCCATTATATACCAGGATCCTGTTCATTATGGTAAACATAGTCTTCAGAAGGATAGAGCAGCTTGGCATTCTTCTATATAGAAGACACAACAAAGCCTTCCCCGGGGTTCAAAAAGCTGTGGTAAGAATTCTGTTCAATACTTTTGGGAGCTCTGTGATGGGCATCTGCAACTAATCTGCCCACATCCAGGTAATGTGAATCAATTTGATGCTACAACCACCCACATCCAGGTAATGTGAATCAATTTGATGCAACAATCACCCACATCCAGGTAATGTGAATCAATTTGATGCAACAATCACCCACATCCAGGTAATGTGAATCAATTTAATGCAACAATCACCCACATCCAGGTAATGTGAATCAACTTGATGCAACAATCACCCACATCTAGGTAATGTGAATCAACTTGATGCAACAACCACCCACATCTAGGTAATGTGAATCAACTTGATGCAACAACCACCCACATCTAGGTAATGTGAATCAATTTGATGCAACAATCACCCACATCCAGGTAATGGGAATCAATTTGATGCAACAACCACCCACATCCAGGTAATGGGAATCAATTTGATGCAACAACCACCCACATCCAGGTAATGGGAATCAATTTGATGCAACAACCACCCACATCCAGGTAATGTGAATCAATTTGATGCAACAACCACTCACATCCAGGTAATGTGAATCAACTTGATGCAACAACCACCCACATCTAGGTAATGTGAATCAATTTGATGCAACAATCACCCACATCCAGGTAATGGGAATCAATTTGATGCAACAACCACCCACATCCAGGTAATGGGAATCAATTTGATGCAACAACCACCCACATCCAGGTAATGTGAATCGATTTGATGCAACAATCACCCACATCCAGGTAATGTGAATCGATTTGATGCAACAACCACCCACATCCAGGTAATGTGAATCAATTTGATGCAACAACCACCCACATCCAGGTAATGGGAATCAATTTGATGCAACAATCACCCACATCCAGGTAATGGGAATCAATTTGATGCAACAACCACCCACATCCAGGTAATGTGATTCAATTTGATGCAACAACCACCCACATCCAGGTAATGTGAATCAATTTGATGCAACAACCACCCACACATAGGAGAACATGGATCAGGTTGTTATAAAGAACCTTTTCAATATAATCTGTAATCCAGTCTAGGCTAAGCCAGGTGCAAGAGAAGATACTACTAGATAATGAACCTTATGTTCCATGTTGTTACTCTTACACCATATGTCTTTTGAATAATATGATTCCCCACGAAATAGCTCTGCTCACATTGTTCTGGCAGAGATTCTTAAAAACCATTACCTTAATCAATTACATAATTATGTATGTATAAAGAACTAAATGCAGTTTTATTGTTACACGAAAGTTGTATGTCGTATTCATTCACAATTATCTAAACATTGTTTGATTACACCAATTAAAACTGAGCATTTGTTATAAAGGAACATAATGCCTTGTTGTTGTGGTCAAAAATTTAATGCCTAATAGTTACTTAAAACACTATACAATAGTAATAATAAACCAATACTTAGACTGTTGTCCTCGTACTCACTTAAATATTGTTACTGTTTAATTCACAGCATTCAGGGATGATACCCCACAGTTTATCAAAACTGCTGAGTGGCAGAAGAAGTATGGTCCTGTGTTCACGATGTGGATGGGTGGTCGTCCTGTTGTCGTTGTTAACAACTGGGACGCCACACGTGAAGCCCTCACCGTAAGGAGAAACGACGTCATCGGGAGAAATAAAACAATATTGGGTAAGTCTGAAGATGGTAGAATTGTTCAACCTTACTACTAGAAATGAATTGTTTAATAACTCTGCACGTAGCTCTACTGAAGGCCCGGCATGGCCAGGTGGTTAAGGCTCTCGACTCGCAATCTGAGGGTCGCGGGTTCGAATCCACGTCACACCAAACATGCTCGCCCTTTCAGCCGTGGGGGCGTTATAATGTTGGGTCAATCCCACTATTCGTTGGTAAAAGAGTAGCCCAAGAGTGATGACTTCCCTCTAGTCTTGCACTGCTAAATTAGGGACGTCTAGTGCAGATAGCCCTCGTGTAGCTTTGCGCGAAATTCAAAAACAAACAAACAAACAAAAGTTCTACTGATTGTTAGCAAAAGTTTATAAAATCGCTGCACATTGCTTGGTGTTTTACAAAAACAATGTAAAATTGCTGCACGCATTTCTGCTGTTTAATATAAAAAAGTGTATTAAAATCGGCATATAAAGCTATTCTTTGATATGGAAGATTATATAAAAATACTGCACATTGTTTTTATTGCTGAATACCCAAATTGTGTTAAAACGTTGTACTTAGCTTAGTAGCTTAACATCCAAGGTATATAAAAACGCTGAATATACAGTTTATGGAAATGCATTTACATTAACAAAAGTGTTAGTGATTCTAGATCTAGAGGTCAGGTAATAAACAAGCGTGTGTAAAGTCCATACCACTCTCGGAAGTCGCTTATATAAGACATTAGTCGGTTTAGGAAAACAGTCTTAAGACATGACCGTGCTCTGAATGAGCCTAATCTCAGGGAAGGATCCCTTCAGACAATTATTAATAAGCAGATAGAGCATGATCTCCAGTTATAATTATGTCTCCAGTACAAGTCTTTCAGATCTGATCTCCAGTTATAATTGTGTCTTCAGTACAAGTCTTTCAGATCTGATCTCCAGTTATAATTGTTTCTTCAGTACAAGTCTGTCAGATCTGATCTCCAGTTATAATTGTGTCTTCAGTACAAGTCTTTCAGATCTGATCTCCAGTTATAATTGTGTCTTCAATACGAGTCTTTCTGATCTGATCTCCAGTTATAATTGTGTCTTCAATACGAGTCTTTCTGATCAGATCTCCAGTTATAATTGTGTCTTCAGTACAAGTCTTTCAGATCTGATCTCCAGTTATAATTGTGTCTTCAGTACAAGTCTTTCAGATCTGATCTCCAGTTATAATTATGTCTTCAGTAGTAGTCTGTCAAATCTGATCATAGTTTCGTAGCTCCACTCCTTAGTGTCTAAAATATTATCTAATAAATGGTGACTGATGAAGGAGAAAAAGTTATATATTTCTTTTAGATCGCTATTGTCTGCCAAATAATGAAATGCCCAAAGCAGTGATAACATTAAGTTGTGAACTATAAAACTGGAGCAGTTTAAGTCGGTCAGTTTTTATTTGCTAGAAGTTGCATCTTTTGGAAGTTTACAGATTAAGTAATTAACAAAATTAAAACCACACAGAATAATCTCCCATTAAAGAATATAATGTTCCACTTGGGAGGTATTCCTAACTATCTACTTACTGAGATGATGAAAGTTGGTACACCTGGGAACTGAATCATTAGCTGTTTATGGTTTGAGTTTTATTTCGTAATGAAAGGGGATGTTTTGTTAAGAACCTGTGTAGTTTATTTCATGAGCTTTTTGTTGGATAGGTAATCTTTTCAAGCAGGAAGATGAAGACATCATGTTTGCTGATTATTCTCCAGAATGGGAAGTTTTACGAAAGATCGCGCACTCAGCTGTCAGGTTAGTTGATATTAAAGCAGGAAATGAATCTGTAAATAATTTTAAATATTAATTTATTTATGTATAAAAAAAAACTAAAAGAAAGCATAAGTTGGTTTATAAGTCGAGTAAGACACTCATAAGTACTTTTATTCCAAATATTATTTCAAATGAAAGGTAAACCCTGTAAATTTATTTTAAATGGAAACCACAAAAAATTCTAATTTCAGAAGAAAAAAAAAAGTTTCTCATCTTCCCGAAACAAAAGTTTGTGAAGCTGCTATACAGAGGTAACGGCACATCTGGGGATCATCCTAGTTTGACCCCGCTAGTTTCAAAATTGTGTGTTAAGTTGTAGTTTATTGTTTACATGGTGTTATAAAGTGAGCTCCCCACTTTAGTGATGATATAAGAAACATAAGTATCATATCACAGAGTAAAAACGAAGTACTATTTCCTTTATGTAGTAATAATAGTAGGGACCCGTGAATAATCCACGGTGATGATAAAGTGTACAATAAGGAAAACAAAACTGCTTGTTGTATCGGTGTTTTGAAAGTACCTATGATTTATGTAGGACACCTAATAATTAAAGTATTTAAAATATCGTTCCATATCTTTTAACGTTCAAAAAGTGTATCCTCGCGATGAAATGCAGGTGTGGTTATCACACGTATTAACTTTGATTCGCCGGATTGTAAAAACAATAATAATGCCGTGTGCAGGGCAATGTATAATCGTGCAAGGGCACTAGTGAGCCCATGCACTAAAATAAGTCAGCCCTAAACAAACGAAATAACACATTCAACCAACCTATGATTGATTACATTGCAAAATATAATAATCTCAAGCAACAGAGCCTAAAATATTAAAGAAATTTGTGTGGCCATCTGTTACGTACACCATAAGGAATCAAACCCCAGATTTTAGCGTTGTAAGTTCGTAGACATATCGCTGTTTCACCGGGAAACATTAAGCACTTCATTGCATGGGAACAGAAAAACTATTAGTTTATGCTTTCTTGTCAACGAATAATGCTCCCACAGTAAAATAAAATGAATAGCCTCGTGTGACGTCAAGGGTGTCACTGTAAAAGTGTTTATATGTTGCCAAAAGATGGCGGCGATCTTCGTCAATCGAAGCGTAGCTCCGGAAAGTACAGTGTAAATAAACCACCTTAAAGTACATAAGTTTAATTTCTAATGACTAAAAGTGCATATTCACACCATTCGAAATATGTATAGAAAATCTGAGGTCAGTACCTTCAAAATTGACAAATCCTTTACATGTACAGTTCCATATTATAGTATAGATGAAACGTTGACATAATTCATTATGTTTAGTTGTTGAAAAGTTTGTGCCTTAAAATGACATGTTACCTTTATCGAAAGATTAATCAGGACAATTTAGCTATGGCGTAAAATTGAAAGTTTTAGGGAAAACTATATGCCTTCGTGTGAAAAGTGATTAATGTGCATCATTCAGGTAGAAAATGGCTGCGCAGTGTCATTACCTACAAATTTTATGATCAGGAGTAATGGAATCTTTTTATAGGTAGGTTATGTTTACACGACTTCGGAATCAGTCTTCTAAGTAATCTAATTCCACAAAAAGTTTATAGATGTAACATGTTCCTTTAAAGAATATATATACATACAAGTTTCTTTCTACGGTCCACTTTTTACCGGATCGATATTGTTTTACAGTAATTACCTGTAGCTTCTGATCCAGCAACGACAGCAGTCACGAACAACTGGTTGTTAACACGAATCCATACAACCTGTCATTTTATTCTTTATTTTAATATCAATATGGATGTCACCTGTTTATTGGTTGAATACTCTTTCACTAGGAAATATGCTGTAAGTGAAGAACTTGCTGAGCTTGTGCAAGATGTTGTAGACGCTAGCGTTCGAAAGATGCTTAAGGAAAAAGAGCCCTTTGACCCTACCCTTTACATCTACTTGTTGGTCTATAACATCATAGCTTCCTCAGCGTTTGGGAAAAGGTAAGAAGATAAGAGGCCTGAAACTTTACAGCTAAGCCAGGTTACTTAAAGTCAAGATCTCCACTATGTAGTGAACTAGAGTACTTTATATTCATTTGTTTGTTCTCTCTTATAAAGCTACACAATGGGTTATCTGTACTCTGACATAGCATGGAGAGGGGCAGTAGTTTATAAACATTTAAAGAAATTATGTCACAAATATTAGTAAATACATAATAATTAAGACATTTTGTAAGAAAAGTAGGCAAGTCTTTAAATGGATTTCTCATTTGCTTTTAAAGAACAACACATTGTTATATAAATAGTTTTGAAGTTTCTCAATTTCATAAATTTTGCTACGTCATTCTTGCTAAATTATTTAGTAGTCTAGCTAGAAAAAAAAAAATTCAATCTTAATTTAACAAGATATAAAAATGACTTGAGTATTTTTCAAGTACATAAATTCAAGAAAACTTTTACAACGATGAATTTTCAGTTCTGTACATTTGCAGCAATTCTAACCAGGATGCGATTTGATTGAAGGTGTAGGGAGTGGGGAGGGTGATTGCCAGGCTCTGCTTTGTTTATGCCGGAATTGAACTTTCAGTGGGGAATAAATTCATCCACCCCCTATAAAACATTTTGAAGTTTTATGCATCTGATATTTTAAAACGTAACATGCTTTATTTTAGATGGCTAAATTAGAAATGAAAGTACCACCAAACAAAAAAGAATCTCCTACCATGAAGAACAATACGGTAAAAACTGCAAATGGAAGCTCTAAACATTGTATCCCTCCACCTCACTGGAAATTTGGAAAATCGCACCATGCTTCTAACTATTTACTATATAAAAGTTTAGCGTCGATTCTATTCATGTAATCCTATAATTCAGTCAGATAATAATAGCTCAAGAGTTGGCGGAGGGTGCTATTGACTAGTGGCCTTCCATTTAGTCTGTCAGTTTAAACCTAAGAACAGCTATTCGCAGATAGCCCATGTGTAGCTTTGTTCGAAATTCTGAATGAAACAATCTTTTCTTCTGGTTGTTCTAGATATGAAGAAGCTAACCAGGAGTTTATGAACTTAAAAGAACCAAATGAATTATTATTGACTGAGTTCAGTAGCGGTATTCCAGGGGATCTCATTCCATTTCTGAGGATTTTTACCATCCATAAAGAATGGAAAATTAAGAAAGCCATGGATGAATACTTAGCTGTTTTAAAACGAGAATTTATGGAACATAAGAAATCATATAAACCAAGTAGGTTACCTCATTATGTTTTAATAAGAATCCTCTCTGAGGTCCGCGTTACACACCAATTAAGTTGAAACAGACTTACAGCTCCACCCATGATAAAGTCCTAGAACCATACAAAATCAACACAATTCTGTATCTATATATGTAGAACTTAAAAGGTTAATTTAAGTTATTTTTATTGTACAAACAAAATCGTTTGAATAATTTCTTTTACTTAATCATAGAAGCTTTATTTTCCAGATAATTTACAATTTGGAGTTTTGTTTCTGTCAGTTATGGTGTAAAATGTTGCTAAGTGCTTCACTCTTCCCACTTCTTTTCTGTGTGTGGATCCAATAAGAAATAAAAGTAGAGAATGTATTTTAATCAACATTTCCAGCTAAGTTGTTCATAACAGTGAACAATGTGTTTCATGAATTAACTTATCAATACTTTTAACAATTACTGTTTAGTATCATATTTTGTTAAAGATAGATTTCGAATGTTGATCTACGTTTCTCATTAAAATCTGTTGTAGAAATAACTTTAACAAAGGTACGGTTTCATCAGGTTATTACAGCGTTTACCTTCAAAAATATAATAGATGTTTCTCATTAAAATCTGTTGTATAAATAACTTTAACAAAGGTACGGTTTCATCAGGTTATTACAGCGTTTACCTTTAAAAATATAATAGATGTTTCTCATTAAAATCTGTTGTAGAAATAACTTTAACAAAGGTACGGTTTCATCAGGTTATTACAGCGTTTACCTTCAAAAATATAATAGATGTTTCTCATTAAAATCTGTTGTAGAAATAACTTTAACAAAGGTACGGTTTCATCAGGTTATTACAGCGTTTACCTTCAAAAATATAATAGATGTTTCTCATTAAAATCTGTTGTAGAAATAACTTTAACAAAGGTACGATTTCATCAGACTACTTTAGCGTCTACCTTCAGAAATATAATAGATGTTTCTAATTAAAGTTTGTTGTAGGAGTAACGTTAACAAAGGTACGGTTTCATTAGGCTACTACAGTGGTTACCTTCAGGAAGATAACATGTTTCTAATTAAAATCTGTTGCAGGAATAACGTTAACAAAGGTACGGTTTCACCAGGCTATTACAGCAGTTACCTTCAGCAAGATAATTACAGTTTTACTGTTAAATTTACGTTAACACAGATACATTCATCAGATCGATTCAGCGGTTATTTTGGAACTTTACTATATATTTCTAGTTAATGTTTTGTTATAATAGAATTAAGATACAGGTTAAGTTTTATGTAAAAATCGCACATTCGACCTCCCAAAGCGGTATCACAATAGAGAGATGTTAACAGTTATAAAACTGACAACCACTATGCCAGCCTGTAATATTTACACCCTGTTATTTCTTTAATGTTATTTTCATTATTTTAAATGTTTAATGCGTCCATCGCTTACTGTTTTGAATTATTTTATTATGATATGTTTTATTTTAAAGATTATTTTGCACAACTACTATGCCAGCCTATCATTTTACGTGAATAATAATTGTGGTTACACATTCATTTTTCTGGTAAATACACAATAATCTTCAAACGTTAAGTTTCCAGTCAACCAGGGCCGCCGAGAGTTATTCCGGGCCCAGGAGTAATCATGTACATATGGGCTCTCATAATATCAGTTAACTATAAAATGCAACTTTCCGAGCCTTTTTCATGGCAAAGTTTTTAATGCACTCTTTATGCATGTTACCTTATTTTTTTCTTGGCTTTTGTACGGGCCCCCTGATGACCCCGGGCCCGGGGGTGATCCCCCGTTACCCCCCTTATCGGCGGTCCTGCAGTCAACATGAATGTATTATGTAGAAAAAACGTTTTAGTACAAACTATTGCATGCCTTTTATTTGTGAAATAACAGCATCCTCAATAGAATTATGTAGGATCACACAGTTAAAAGATAGTGGGACAAAAATTAATAACTTCAGTTCCCGCCTTTTACATATAGTGACACTAAAAACAGCCTATCAGAAAATCAAATACCGAAATGTGAACAATGAGCAAAGGGTTTTATTCTTTAAAGTTTACCCAGTCTTTTTAGTTAGTTGAACTACGATCTTTTTAGTTGGTTCAATTAAGATCAGTTAATATATTTCACTAAATTATGTCTCGTCTCACGATTAATGGGAGAAATAAGGTCACCAATATACCTAAAAGTAAGGTTCTAATTTTAACACTTAAAACACTGAGCTAACATCAAATACTCACGAAAAATAAATTCAAAAATGTGAAACATCAGGCCAAACATTGACGCCCTCCAGTGGCACAATAACTTGCACCTGCAGGTATGTTGCTTAAACACCGGCACATCGGAAACAATGAAGTTATTAAATGTGTACAAACCAGGTTGGTTTGATAGATTAGTGTTTAGTTTTATTTATATACATATAATTTAAGGGCAACAAGGTCTATCTATGCATCCCACCCACTATACTAATCTCAAAAATAAAAATAAAATACTCAGTTTTATTTGGAATGTAATATTATACAATTTGGTACTAAGGAATGTTAATATTAAGTTAATGATGGTGCAACTCCAAACGTTGTAAAGTAAACGCTTTTAATATCACTCAGGCTAGACGTTGTAGAGCGAACTCTGATAAAATCACGTGAATGATAATATCACTCTAGACGTTGTAAAATGAGCCCTGTTACTATCACGTAAATGACAGTATCACTCGAGACGTTGTGAAATGAACCATGTTACTATCACGTAAATAATATTATCACTCAAGACGTTGTAAAATGAACCCTGTTACTATCACGTAAATGATAGTATCACTCAAGACGTTGTAAAATGAACCCTGTTACTATCACGTAAATGATAGTATCACTCAAGACGTTGTAAAATGAACCCTGTTACTATCACGTAAATGATAGTATCACTCAAGACGTTGTGAAATGAACCCTGTTACTATCACGTAAATGATAGTATCACTCGAGACGTTGTGAAATGAACCCTTCTCACTACTGAATGCAACTCTAGATGCAACTCTACTGGCTCTTCAGTTGCGTTTAGTAGGCACGGATCAACAAGGATACCCCAACAATTTTGGTTTCGTATACTGCAGAGCTTAATCTTCAACGTTGTTATACTGCAGAGCTTAATCTTCAACGTTGCACCGTTTGTATCACCATTTTATGACCTTGTTTTATCGTCCTCTTAAATTTGTTGCACACACATACACACTGAAGTTCAAGAAAAATTACACCTCGCCTTTTTTTTTGGTGTTAACTACCTGATAATTAAATTATATTTTTGGTACTTAAGTTACACAGTTGAACTGAATAGCATTTGTTTTGCTCTTGATTGATGTTCAATGTACTTATATATTCATCAACGTTTTGTGATGGTTATTTTAACGCTCGTGTAACTTACAGCCCACATTTTGTTTGGTGTTGGAGATAACCACGTGACAGTTAAATTTTTAGATGAACTTTTTATCCTTTATGCCACGAAAGAGTAATATACTTAGCTCCTTTGTTTAAAAAATGTATTAATCATCAAACAAGGTCTGTATTCGACTTAGTTTTAACAACTCACAAAACAAACTAAGTTTGTCAACATCTTTCTTATTTGCCCATTGACCAGGAACGTCAAACTGTGGAGGGCAGGAGGGGCACCTTCCTCCCACAATATGAAAAATATTAACCCTGTCCAACCTTTATACACATGTTTAAATTGTTAGCTATAGGAGCCAAATAGGAATTATTATTGTTTATTCTTACCTACAAAAAGGTCAGAGACGACTTGGATTAGGTTTCCATCCTTCAAGTACTCTAAACTACTTTTCCCTTCCTGCTCTGCTTCTTCTCTTGCAGCCAGAACAGCGTCGGTGAAATCTCGCACAATGTCTGGTGGATTAGAACACAGTACATGTATATTTTACAGCAGAAAATTCAATTATACAGAACTATTGCAGGTGTTCTTGAACAAAGCAACAATGTACAATATTACTACGTGATTCATAATATTATTATTGTAAGAGATAAATTCCACGGAACATCTATATAAAAATACCCAATACACAACCTATAGACAGTATAGGTTTTCTACAAGATATATATATATATATATATTAACATGTTAGTTTGATGTCCCGTATAGCGTGTTTTGGGGATATCCAAAGAAAATTTGCAATTGCAATCGTATATAATATTATATTGTTTTTTACAAATTTTTGTTTCAAATACATTCAAAACAAGCACCAAAGTAAATTTTTGAATTGATGAAGTTTCAACTGAACGATGATTTTTGTATACTTTTATTCATTTCACATTCAGCTGGAACAGATACTTCTGAGAGGATGTTGAGTTGGATGATCTTGTTACTAGGCAACTATCCGAATATCCAGAAACTAATGTACGAAGAAATTGAGAGTGCTTTAGGTAAGATAACGTGAATAATTATTATTTTGACGAATAATCCTCTTTCTAAATAGGTTTGTTCAAGAGCCTCATTTCATAAAAATTTGGGAACGCAAAAGGTTATGATGTAATTTGCGCAGGTGTGTTAATCCGACCTATATGGAAATATTTTACAGAAACTCCCATCTCTATCCCTCTCAAAAGCTTGGATGGAGGAAACTGTTCGTGTCGGTCCCTCTAAATGACGACCCTGGATTTTTTACTTATCCCTGTTAGTTAAGCAAATTATTTACAAATTTTATTAATAAAAATTTACATCCTTGCTTTTAGGACTCACCAAGTAGAGCTTGTTTGTTTTTAAGCACAAAGCTACACTATGCTCTACCCTCCGCAGGTATCGAAACTCCATTTTTAGCGTTATATACTCTCAGACTTACCGCTGATCCACTTAGTAACCAGGCTGAAGTATATAAAACCTTTTTATATACTCAACAATATCTCACTGTATATGAACTTACACAATTTACAGAAACTTTACAATATCAGTTGAAGTTAATACTTTCAGTATTTATACAATTTTCATAAGAAATCTGAATATACATTCTTTCTTGCAGCTTTGGAAGCCAAAAAAAAAGTTTGATCAAAGCATATTTTAACTGCTTACAGTGAGTGTAGTCAAGAAGAAACATTAAGTAGATACAGCAGTTAACTGAATCATCGACTTGTGACTATTGGTATCACTATAATATATATAAATAATATGTATGTATACTAGATATCAGTGAAAGATATATAGTATTCTGGAATTTCTGTTGTTTGGGGTCATCTGTTCCTTCCTCGTGAAGCAAGTAATCCGAGCGTCTATTTCAAGAATTTTAAAGACAAGCATGATTAATTTTAGTTCTAACATTTAAAAAATAATACTGGTTAAATGTTACATATTTTATTACTTACGATCGTGACGTATTCTTAAGCACATATTTGATGGATTATCTTACTTAAATTTATCGTGGATTGCCAGTTAGCATTTACATGATGAATTCAAGGGAGCCACATTAGCTCAAGTAAAACTTAGCAGTTCTTGTAGTTTGATTTTACTGTTATAGCGTTATATATATATATTGGTATCCATAGTTTCAAACATCAAGGCTGTATGCTAATCAACCTGTCGTAGCAAATGGTCAAGGAATGTTAGGAAACACACGTATTGTAAGCCAAATAGATGGATATTCAGCTATTATTTTCAAGGTGATTCATTTTTAAAAAATATATCAAAACATTTAGTATATACAATAAAATATATTAATATCTGTAATATTTTTATCATACAATGGACATTTAATATAACTCATACAAGAACACAGATTTAAAATTGTGAAAATTAGAAATTAAAATTGTTTGTTTTTCTGTTTAGGTAACCGGGCTCCTGTCCAGGATGATAAACATCTGTGTCCTTACACTAGTGCATTCCTTATGGAATCCTTGCGTTTCGGGACTGTTGTTCCTTTTGGTCTTGATCACAGAACTACGGTGGACACTGAAATAAGTATTCCACTTTTATCAAGCCACTTCCAACATCTTTTCACGCACTTTCATTATTTAAATGTATATGTGTGTGTCTATATATACATATATATATATATATATATATAATTTAG